AAAAAAAAATAAGGAAAACTTAATGGAAAACAGAAAAATGTTTGTAGGTCAGTAAGCAAACCAACTGTCAAGATAAATGTCAGAGGGGATTAAAATTTCTGCTTAGATATTTTGAAGCCAGCTGTGTGGCTCAACGGTCTCTGGCTCCCAAAGTTTGTCTTCCAGTGCTATAATGAAGAAAAGTCCCACCACTGAAGAAGACCTTCCATCATGGGGCATCTACCGCGAGGCAGAGGAAGGGAGGAGAATTCAGGATTCTTGCCAGGTCGGTGGTGCAGCTGGGCTTTCTTGTCTTCTGGTGGTTATTGCTTGGGCATGGCAAAATCCCAAGCGGTCTCCTGAGCACATTTCCACATAGCCCTCACCAGACGTGTGAAGCCCATGTCTTTGGGTTTCTCCAAACCCCTCATAAGCCGCTGCTTCATGATGGCAACAAATTCCTTATTGCTCAGCTCTCCATTTCCTGAGGGAAGAAAAGGAAAGACCAGTTCAGAAAATGGAAAATGTAAACAACAACAACAATGCCGCCTATGCAAAGAAGCTGAAGAAACAGCGGACTACCTGGTAAGCTTCTGCAAGAAGATTGTACAAACTGACTACAAGCAGCGACATTACAAAGTAGCAACAATGGTGCATTGGAAAATGTGCAAGAAATATCATTTGCCTGTGAGCAAGAATTGGTGGGATCATAAATTAGAAAAAGTCATATTGGTATAGGAAATCACCAATGAACAATTAGACCTATTGGGGATCTTAAAAAAATATATGTAAAGAGCACAAAATACTTATTATTACACATATTGACTGCTGCTAGGATCACCTTTGCCCTATGTTGGAAACAGCCACATATATCCGCAGAGAAACTGGTTATACAAAAAGTTATGAAATGTGCTGAAATGGATAAATTAACGCTGAGTTTAAAAGATAAAGAAGATTCAATATTTTATAAGGTGTGGGAGCAATGGTATACCTGGATAGATCGGAGATAGATTAAGGATAGGTAATTATTAAATATAGAATATACATAGAATAAGAATGTAATTATGCACAAATTAATATCTGTAAATATTGCACAAATTATTGTCATACGATAAGCACCACAAATAGCTGTTATTGAGTGATATATTTTTTATGTTTTTAATGTAATAAAAATTCAATAAAGTATATTTTAAAAAAATAGAAAAAGTCATAGAAAATGAAAAAGTTAAATTGTTCTGGGACTTCAGAATCCAGACAGACAGGCACCTGCCACATAACACCCCAGACTTAACAGTTGTCGGTAAGAAAGACAAAAACAGTCTGGATAGTGGATGTGGCAGTGCCTGGAGATAGCAGAAGAGAAGAGAAAGAACTGGAGAAGATAACAAAATACAAAGACCTACAAATAGAAATAGAATGACTATGGCAAAGGCAAACAAGGGTAGTACAAATAGTAATAAGCACCTTGGGTGCAGTGCAGTCCCAAAACAACTGGAGCACCATTTGAATACCATAGGCATTGACAAATTTGCCATCCGTCAATTGCAGAAGGCAGCTTTACTTGGAACAGCTTCCATCCTGAGGCAATATCTGTAACACCATGAAACATCCAGATTTGCCCATCCCTGGTCCTTGGTAAGGACTTGATAGGTAGACAAAAATGCCAAACCCAGTCTGAACATCTGGCTGACTGTGCGATGAATAATAATATAAATAATAATAAACTTGCAGCATCCCTGTCCAAAAAGATTAAGTCACTGAAGACTAATTTCATTGGCCCAGTTTCCCTCTTGATTGGAAACACTAATTTCATTTGTGATGTCTAAATAAATTATGGTAGAACACTGGTATGATTCTTACCAGTGTCATTCTCTCCACAAAAGAAACCCACCAGAATTATTATTTTTTAAAAAAGGGGTAATTGTTAAATGAAAGCATAGTCAACAATTTCTTTGTGGCCCAATTCTTCATCTGTTTATTATTTTAGGCAGAGCCTCTCCTGTTTTTCTAATTATCTTTGTTCATTACCCACATTTCTGATTCAGAAATGCTATACTGTATTCCAGGTTTTGATGGTTCCTTTATGGAAATAATAATGTTTCATTACTACAGAGCTCTGGTCATTCTTGTTCACCATGACGGGTGGAATGGAAAAAGAGAAATTTTTCGAGAATTAAAAAACAAAAAGCCTTATTCTCATAATCAAATACATGTAGATATAGACAAAGCCAACTAATATACAAAGACCCGTTGTCATGAATAGATGAGATTCTGGCCCTTTAATTATTATCGTGAACTCTGATTACTAAGAAACCGAATTTAATCATGGGCTTCCGCTGAAATAGCGCCTTGCTCATAATTTGGAGAAAGAGGTTATTTCATAAAAGTTATTTTTCAGCAGCCTTGTTGAAAGCTTATAATTTAAAATAGGTATTAAAGCAGTACATTACAGTTCTTCCCTTCTACTCAGTAATGAAAGCAACTCCTGCCTGGATTAAATTTACCAGCAATTGAAACCATGCTAATAAGATTGGTACATGGATTTACATGCACATATATTATAACTTCGATTTTCTCTACTATTCTTTCATGTTGCATTTAAAGAGGTACTTAAAGAAATGGAACAGGAATGTTTTTCCTCCTATGTTCAAATGAAAGAGTTGGTTGATGCAAGGAAAAGTGATACAATCTGGCTTTGATTAATGCAGTTAATGAATTCCATGACATTATCATCACCTTATTTGAATTTGCACCATTCAAAGTGATATTTCTGTGAAAAAAATATGGTAATTGATGAAAAGAGGCAAAGAGAAACTTTAAACATAGATGTTTATATGCATATTAGTGAAATATTATCATAAAGAATTAAAAACAATATATATTAATTTAAATTTATGGTCTACAACAGAGGCCCTCAAACTTGACAGCTTTAAAACTTGTGGACTTCAATTCCCAGAATTCCTTCTCCAGTCATGTTAACTCAGGAATTCTGGGAGTTGAAGTCCACAAGTTTTAAACTTGCCAAGTTTGAAGACCCTTGGTCTACAAAGTCCAAATATAGAAAACAAAATAAAAACAAAAGAATTCTGTTATAGATGTCACACATTCCAACATCCTTCCCTGGTTTTAGTGATGCTATAACCTCTCTCATGTTGTTCAATTGCATCAAATTTCTACTCTAATAAGGTTTCTTTAAAAAAAATTGTAATGTTTTCCTCTGCTGGAATCTTTCTTTTCTCTATTTTGTATACACAAAGATTAGCAATGTCTAAGACCCCAACCGTAACTGTGCATGCTCATTGACTTTTTTAGGTTGCATTAAAGGCCCAAAATTTGCACCACAGCGAATACACATTTTTCAAACTCACACTAATTGTGACCTAGTTGCACAACAAGCTAAGATTCAGATAGGCTTTTATAACAAACAATACTGCATTCCAGACCCAGTCAGACTTCTCTGGGTGGGGGAAATGCCTTTTATTGCCATTGAAAATTATAATTTAATAATTCTATCAAACATACATGCTTAAGGACTTTCTGACAGTATCCGGTCTTGCCATTTTACAAGGATGTAGTTAGAAGCGGAAAGGTGACTCTAAAATAACTTCTTACTTTTTATGCGCAATAGGATTTATTGACTTTATCCAGCAGCTGAGCAAATACGTTGCAAATATCCTTTTTTTAAATTAAATTTTATTAATTTTCTATTAATTACATTTCTTAGTGCTTACTAAACATCATGTTGTCTGAGTATTTAATTTGCTTAATAATACAGATTTCATTCTTACTCTCCACCTCTTTTTTCCAAATACTTTTAGAATAAGTTCCCTGTTAGATAATATTCTGTATCTTCTTTCTGTTTGATTTTCAATGTAAGTCTATCCATTTCTGGACAATCTAATATTTTCTTAATTATCTCTTCATCTTGCGGTGTTTCTTTATTTTTCCAATATTGTGCGAAGATCATCCTTGCTGCTATTAAGACATGTAATATTGAATACATACTTTTCTTATCAATTTTTTCTGATATCATCCCTAATAAAAACAGCTCAGGTTTAAAATCTACATGTTTCTCTATTATCTCTTCTAGCCATCTGTGTATTTTTGCCCAATTTTTTTTTGTTTTAGCACAAGTCCACCACATATGATAAAATGTGCCCGTTTTTTAAAAAAAAATTACATTTCCATGTTGCAAATATTTTTTCTACTACAGGTGGTCCTTGACTTACAACACTTCATTTAGTGATCATTTGAAATTATAATGGCATTGAAAAAAGTGACATATGACTGTTTTCACACTTAGATCATTGCCATATCCCCATGGTCAAATGATCAAAATCCAAATGCTTGGCAACTGGTTCGTATTTATGATGGCCGTAGTGTCCGAGGGTCATGAAATCACCTTTTGTGACCATCTGACAAGCGAAGTCAGTAGGGAAGATTCATTTAACAACCTAACTAACTTAACAACTGCAGTGATTCACTTAAGAACGTTGGGAAGAAAGTTTGTAATATGGCCCAAAAATTCACTTAACCACTGATTGGATTAGCAAAAGAAATTTTGTAGAAATGACTGTGTATACTATTATGGTAAAACAAAAACTTGTGATTTGTTGTCACATTATTCTATTGTAACAGATAAGAGTTGGAAGTCAATACTTCAGTTTCTTTTTCTTTCCCTACCCTTCCTCATTTTTCTTTGCCCTTTCCCCTTCCTTTTCCCTGTCCTCTTATTTGCTTTTGTATTTTGTATTTTATAATATTTTACAACCCAATAAAAATGTATTAAAAAATAATAATTTGGACTCAGTTGTGGCGGTGAGAGCTACCTGTGTTTATTGTTCTTTCCCCCCAAAATTACAACCTACATTGTAATTTGTAATTATAAATTGTAAAACACAGTTATTGGTACATTTTCTCAGTTCACTGAATTTATAACTCTACAGGTGGTCCATTATTTTAGTCCAAAATAAACTAGGGGAAGCTAACTTGATACATAGTTGACATGCTGAAACACAAAAGGAAACATCTTGGTGAAACAGAAACACCACTAATGTGGATTACCCAACAAACCTTTTGTTATAGTCATTAACCAGAAATCCAACATAATAAATAAACAATACCCGATGCAGAATAAAACTGTCAATTTTCAGTTGTAAGGTTTCTATTGTATATGGTCATTCTCTGCCTAGCGGAAAAAGACTTCAGGATTATTATCAGCTATGAAATTGTTCAGATGACTAGGAAGTTTGTTAAAGTAATGGCTGGAACAGCAGTTGTCTTACGGCGGCCTGTTTGGTGTAGCAGTTGCAATTGAATTTTTCTTCTGAAGTTATAATTTATTTTAAGAGAAAAACCAACATGAGCATCTGGTTTTACACCAAAACCTGCTCCCAGAGAAGTATGAAGTAGAAAAATATTCTCTGCTCATTTAGTAGACATCATGTTGGCTCACCTCAAAATGCAAGCCAAATAAAGTGTCCA